AACAAAATTGACATTTATTACATTTAACCGAATAATCACCAACAGAACATCTACGTTTTACTTGCAACTTTCAATGCCCAGCCCTAACTTTTCAAACCCTAATCTTCTCAAAAACCCCATCTACCCCAGAAATCCACTTCTCAAGCCATGCCTGTTATTAACCCCTATTGTTCTCTGAATCCCCGACTTTCAGCAGGTGGTCAGTTTTTGTTGCTGGAAACACGTTTTTTTTTTTCGTTTTTAACTAAACCGATTATTGACTGTAACTTTCAGTACTGCGTTAGTTGCCACAAAGATTAAAGCTTAGATGCCTAACTTCGAATATTACCTGGGAGCCCAATACATGGCCAGGGGCGAATATCTAGCTGGGTATGCATCCCTAGTCCTAACATTTTTGCACAGTACTGTATTAAAATGCTTGTTTTGAAGAGTACATTACAGGAAAACCAATAATTTTTTGCAATTCCTAAAATATTCTATTAACTCTTTAACTACGACCTGGGTGCATTACAACTAGCCTGTAACCACCAAAGTAACCATGAGAGTAGTCATACTATAATTTTTAATAAGGTACTTGTATCTTCATGAAACTTTTTAGATTATCAATAAACATTACAAGGATTTTCTAATTAAGTATTAAGATTTTTTTAATTAGAGATTTGCTCGTGAACTTTTTATCTGTTATTTTCTCTACCTTATCTTTATATAAAATTAGGAAATACATATAAATTACCTTTCGTTCATTTTAGAATGTCTGCAAATTGTAACAGGAAAACACAAATGTTTATTCTGAACAGCTTAAATTTCATAATGCATACATTTACTTATATTTATTGATTTTTTTGTTTTACTGACCTTTAAACCATCTCTGACTAATAATACCACCATATAAGTTGTATATCACAGGGTGCACGTGGAGCTCACTTTACTGTATCAAATAGCATAAATGTCTTAATCTTCATACTAGCACATCAGTAAAATCACATTTCTGTTACCATACATTACATATATATTATTGCTATTTACAAATAAATTCATAAATTTCTGTTATATTTTCAAAACATAGAACATTAAATAACAAGTATATGGAAGACAATGATCTCCAAAACTTAGGACGTTATGAAGTTTCTTTGTACTTGTATGTTGTACTTGCTAAGCCTCTTCAATTTTCACACAACAACATGGCTCACCTGCACTTATGTTACTGTATCAAAAAATGTCATGGTGACCTCTGGTCTGTACAAAGTAACTTGTCTTGGCTGTGTTTGTAGACTAGTATTTTGTAAAATACAGTCACATTTCAATTATTATACATTATATATGTATACAGAATATCTAGATTATTGCTATTTTGATATAAATTCTTAAAGTCTAAAACATAAAACAGTAAATAAAGAAGTAAAGCAAACAATTATCTGTACTTGGTTGCTGCTTGACGCTTTACAAATTTTGCACGTGGAGGTTTCATATGTACTTTTTAAAAACTAAAAATTCGTAAATTACTACATTAATACCACAGAATTCAACTATAATTTATCAAGCTTACTAACTGAGATGTATTTTACTCTAAAAAAATATGAAATTTCGAGCAGACTAAAGACACAATCTACCTCATTGAAATCTTGATTTAAAAGAAAGAAAGGATGCTAGGTACATTAGAAAGGCTTATAAAGCCATTAGGGGACATTCTGAGCTTCTGATTGGTTATTCAAGTTTATAAGGGAGCATTTCTAAAATTGGAAGGAGGTGAGCAGGGTGCCACTATGTTTGATTTATTACGTGAGCAATATCTTAGCAATAGAAAAGATAAGAACTTCTTATTTTATATTCTAGCTTGTCAATATCTGTTATTTGAGTTTCTAATTCGTATGAATCTATAGACTTAGTATTTTGACTTCACACACATCTAATTTGAACCAGTACTGCATTCAACATACCACGTGACACAAAAACGATGTTTATTTGTGTTTTTTAATATTTACTTTTAAGTTAACAAATTGAGTAATGTATATTATTAAAATATGAATTATAATCTACAGTTTCATACCAAACTTATTGATATAAATTCATGAAACAGTAGTTCAATAAAATTTTGAATGCGAGTCAACAAACGAGATGACATGGCCTTTCACCTGTGACCTGTCTCGAAAGGGATATACTGTTGCTTCATATGCCAGTTTCCATTGTACTGAGCTGCTACAAAGGTGACACGGCCTTTCACCTGTGACCTTTTCTTTTTTTTTTGGTAGCGTGCCTAAGTTTGTTGGATTTAGTAATTAAAGTAAATTTTCTTGATGCTTCTGCCTTTTCAGCAAACTTGTCTGCCAACTAATGCAAAGCAGAAATATCATCGTGGAAATGTTGTCTTTTCTATTTTTATGTTGTCTATTTCATCCATCACAGTCTTTTTTGACTAATTTTTGCCTGTTCTTTTTGTTTTCCATTGTTCCTCAATAAAGATCATAAACATTTTTTCCATTGTCTTTCAAAATTTGTAGCACATACTGAAGGGATTTACACATTTTAAAGTTTTTACACATAAAAAAGTTTAGAAAAAACAACCTTTATACTCCATACATTTATAAAATAACTTTTTATTTTTTTATATTTTAACCAAAGTGAAACAATTATAATAATAATATATACATTGTTAGACACGTTACAACATTTATGACAGACTCAAAAAATAGAACATTACAAGCAGTTTTATAATTTAACGAATATTCTAATATCAAACAGTTGTAAAGTTCTATCACGCAAAATAATCTGAAATTATGAAGTTTAGTTGAGATTACACATTAGAACACTAAAATGTTGTACATTCATCAAACAACACTTAAAAGTGAATACTTAAAAAGTTGTGATAAATGTTGCAGTAAAAGAGAAAAAAAAATAGAGTATTCCAAAATAAATTGTATCACTTAGGCTAATTTGTTATAACTGCATAAAAAGTAGTTACTTTAAGCATTATATATGTATAAATCAGAAACCAGTTATGACTACTTACCTTATTAGAATCTAAATCCACTAACCAAACATCATCAGGAAGTTTGATATGTCGTTTGAACATGAGAAAGCTTGCTGGAACTCCAATGATGAAGGGAGTAGGAGCTAAGAGCAGCTAATATTGAGTTATATAAGATTAATGTTTTTCATACATTGCAAAACATAATGTAAATTGTTTGTAGAGTAATAGATAAATTTAAACATTTTTAAAACATTTATATGCTGTCTGAAACATTATCTCATTGAAATTGTGTACATTAAATATCTAAATTATTTACTAAATTGTACAATCAAAAACAAGTTTCACAATTACATATATGTATTTATAAGTAAGATAAAGTTTTAGATTATGGAATCAAATAATTTTTCTTAGAGGGTAATTTATTCTTTGGTTATCTGTGTGATATTTCTTATGTTAAGATTATTACTCAAAACAAATTTGTGCATTATTAAATGTTGTTTTTTTTCATGCTAATCTCTCACAACTCAAATTGTTCTTCCAATTCATATATTCCCCAAGGATCAAATGATATTATCAAAATACATCAGTTATTTCCCCAATAATTCAAGCTGAGCTATGGGTATAATTATTTAGAAATTAAGACTTATTGTATGGATGCACTTGAACAAACAAAAAGAAAACAATGGTCTTTTGTTCTTCATTATAGTCTATGGAAACTTTACTTTCCACAAGTTATTATATTTAGTAATACTTAGTTTAAAATCCCACTTGTTCTGACAATATCTATTCAGGGTACTCTGATTGTAAGTTGCTGTTCAGAATAATGCCTTTTTGGTAACTTCACTCTTAACAAGTATTCCCTAGTACAAATGAGGATTAAACAATATTTTGCAAGACTTATTACTCCAGTCAACATTGATTATTTGATAAGTATTCTGAACATCTCTCTCTTTAACAGAGTACATGATATAAATGTGTGACGTAGGTGTTGTTTCAAAAGATAGTCTTTGTCTTATATTATCTCAAGGTAACATACTGCCTTTTAATGTATTTTAAGAAACTTTAACTAATTTGATACAAAATGAGAACTTTATGGTAAAAATATTTTTCAAAATTAATGTTCACTGCTAAAAGTTGTATTATTTATGTAAAGATATTTTTCAAAATTAATGTTCACTGCTAAAACTATCTACATTATTTACTTTTCAAATACTGTTTTCCAATTAACATATGAAACAAGGCATTCTAATCATTATAAGTAAAATAGTCTGAACAGTACACTTAGTTAGCTATGCTCATTAATGGGTACATTTTTAGTTCTGATCAATATAGATAGCTTACTTTGGTCAAAGTTCATATTAATAATTCATTAATCACATCTCTTGATTTGTAATTTTAATAATGCAACTTCTGGAATACAAATCTCAAATATACTATTACAACTCTTATTAATTTAACTGCATTTTATTCATGCAAAATATAAAATTTTAAATCAAGCACTTCTTTCTTCTCAGCTAAAAAAAATGTAATTTTTTTTAAGAATTGTACATTGAAGGAAAAACATAGTATATTAATGTTTGTTCTACATAAGCATTTAATATCAGTCACAAATTAATTATGTCTTTAATCATGTATGTTTCTTTACATCATTTAGACATCTATTTCACTTTGTTCTGTGATTTCCATACCATGAAAGTATCATTTCACAGTAAACATGAAAATTATAACTAATTTACAAAGATATAATTGCTAGTTTTATATATTCATACAAATTCAACAAACAAAATGCATGGTCACTGTGATAACATAAAACAACAACTCTTTAAAAGCTTATAAGACCATTAAAAAATGACTATCACAAATGTAATGCTTACATTAATTTATGTAGTCCAATATTATTTCACTACAAATAGCTCTTATACATTTGTCAACTTGTTTCAACAAAATTACATCATCATTTATTTTTTCTGTTGCTACACATTTGACACAAGCAATAAGTTCATCTTTCCATAACAACTATCAAACTGCTCAGTTTTAACTGTCATGATATGACAATTACACAAAACAAAATAAAATTGGTGACTAAATAAAAGAGAAAATACATTGTTAAATATATAAAATTAATGAATCAATAATACTAGTTTTTTTAGATGCATCATATAACTAAAATATGTAATCATTTACAAAAATCTATTTTCCTTGGCTGAGGAGGAAAGTGAGCTTGTTTTATAACTTCAAATTATTTAGTTTAACTACTAAACACCAATATTCAATTATTTTAAGCACATGAACTGTTTTTGCTTGAATCTTATTAAATAACTCAGTAATGTTATTGAACTTCATAACTGTTTTGCTCTCTCAATTCAGGTTCAGTCGAATCAGCCCAGTTCACGAGCCCAAATTTACCTTTATAGTTTCCATACTATAACTTCTAATATGTTTTGTGTATCTTCACAAATTTTCGCAAGCTGTCAGTAATTGTTAAGATTAATTTGAATATAAAATGAATCTGGATTTTTCATGAAGAATTTTCACTAAAGATTTCTCCATGAATATATAGAGTCAAAGTATTGACTGCTCTGAGTACAAAGTGATTTTCATGTTAAGGTTCAAAATACTTCTCTTCATCTGAAAAACCTCTAAAATCTTTTAGCTAAATACAAAACATTTTCCTCACTAACAATTTATGCTTTATGTTATTTTTTCTACTCTAACTCTATATGAGGTTGGTCACATTGACCAAACAAAAACTGAAATAAATCTAAAGTACCCTTTTTTCTTTCTAAAATGACTTCAAATTGTAACATGAAATTATATTTGTTTATCCTAAATAGCTTTTAACTCAAAACAATATACATCTATTTATATTTAAATTTTATTATTTTATTGCCCTTTGAAACGTGTATCTAATATTGACACCATACAAGTTGTAAATCATTTGGCAGACTATTCGTGAGCTACTTGCAAGAGTATCCTGTGACAAATATTTCAATTTATTCTACCTAATCTAACCTAAAGAGTTTATATTTTTTTACATTTTAGTTACTTTTATAATAAATAAAGAATGCACATGAAAAAACAAGAAAGAAAGTTCTTTCCTGGGTCTCCTTTTTTTTCTTTGCTATTGACTGTCATTGACAATTAACTCTATTTTTTTTTATTCTACTGCACCAATGAACACAGAATAATAGTATGCAACATGCAGACAACATCTGATAACTATCACTGGCTTTCTAATTATGCAAAAGCCATTAAAAAATTCATCTGAGCTCATTCATGCACTTCCCATGGAAATAAAGCTTGAACTGAAAGCAAAACAGACAATTCTCTGTAAAGAAAATAATGTAATATGTCATTTGATAGATTAAAACTTTGGCTTTCTATTGGTTATAAATAATATAATATTAATGTCAGAGAACTATTGACAGTTTCAGAAACTGAGGATGTGATAAGTGGGCATGGTAAGAGAGGTCTGACTTTTTAGTTTATGGCTCTGTAACCAAATAAGAGTGAAAGCTATAAAAATTATACTTTGCCTGAACAATGACAACATTATAATAAATAATTTGTTAAATTATGTACTTCTTGGAGGGGTGGCAAATAAATTAAAGAGGGAATACCTAGAGAGCAAATGTCATAAATCTCATACCAGGATAAATTCAACAATCTGTTTTTAATATTTCCTTAAGAAATTAAGAACTTAAATTTTATATATTAAAATTGGGATTATTAGCTACTTTTTTATGCCAAATATACTGTGTTAATATAATAATTTAATTAAATTTTGAATGTAACTCACTAAAACCTCGTGACATGCAGAAAAAGATGTCCATAGCAAATGTGTTAAATACATTCTTTCTTCTTGCCTTATATTCCATTGTTTAGTGCCAAGTCATGTTTTTCAGAATTTACCTGTCAAATATTAATTCACAAAGCCTGATAAACATAATTTGCTTGAAATTACACAAAAATATATCTATTTTTGTTCAATCCAATATCACCTTTTTAACATATAGAATGTGAACACCAATATGTACATAGAGTATACCATATTTGCCCAAATATAATGTGCACCCAATTGATGAAAATGTTTTTTTTATACATCAATTGTACAAAATGTATGGAATAATTTCTAAATACATTAAACAACCATTGACGTATTAAACATTTTTGGAAATCTTTCATTGAAATATTTTTGTGTATCAATTTTACAAAATTTAATGAAAAGTTTATTCATGGTAATACACATAGCTAATCATTGATCTTCACATAAATCTTTGTTATCGCTAGAATTGTCGCTACCATCAGACTACCTTCTTGAACATTTACTTCATTCTCTTCTGATTCCCATGTCATCATCCATTGCATTGCATTGGATATGCAACATTTTTTTAAACTTTTAATGATGCTTTAATGATTTTCATTGGTTGTTTCCAGTAAAATACCTAACAAAACTAAACATGCACAAATATAATGCACAGCCAATTTTTTCGGAGGTATTTGGAGGAAAAAAGAGCACATTACATTTGGACAAATGCGGTACTCTAACCAATAACTTCTCTACACATGTAAAATCAGCAACAATTTAAAAAACAAACTTTTAAATCTTTTGTGACAAACATGACACCTGAAGAGATATGCACATAATATTCACCGATATTCATAAATACAAATACAATACCAAAATAATGTTATACTTCCTAAAGATCACCTGTTCAGCAGCACTCATACACGTAGGAAGAAGGGGAATGATGGGAAACATATACTCCAAAGGGTAGATCATAGTAACGAATGCCATCACACTCATTGACAGGGCATTATAATCTCGAGACTGCAGCACCAACTGTAGGTGGAAATAACTATCTTAAACTCAAGTTGATATATACACAGTTACATTATATTTGTCAATAAAATAGGGGAAGAATTGATCTAAAAGTTAACATTTCTCTTATCTGAAAATGTATTTCAGATAGATACTCACATATCTCTGCACCACAAAGAGCTATTACCTTGCAAGCACAGCCATGTAATTTCCTGAGCATAACACAAGCCTTAAACAAAGCTCCCACTCCAAAACATTTACTGTATTGCACCAGCTAATAATGTAATCATCATTAGGGTATAGCTTTCCACAAATAGTAAGGTAATGAGGAAATCTCTATATCAACTGCCTTAGCTACTTGATACTGGTGAAGCAACGGTTCTCCAGTACCTACCAGAAGAAATGGAAAGGGAAGGAATTTGTAAGAGGGAGAACACCAGAGAAGTGTGAAGACCATCATCATCAGGCACACTCAACTGGAATTAGGTACCACACTGAAAGTCAGTGCAATGGGTTACTGCAACTAAAGACAACAGGTGTGAGGGTAAATACACATCAGACACTGTCGTCTTTTTTCCACAAGCATATTCCACAAGATATGAAATAGACACACACACGGATATATATAATAAGAGGTACATCTTCAAAACTATTATATCAATTACATTAATTGTCAATAGGCAATCAAGATCAGCACTATAAAATGATAATGAACTTAATATAAATTTAAAACTCTATTTACAAAAAACATAAAAACCTTCACACGTTCCAGTTGTTATCCAAAAGTCATAACATAGATTGCCTGTGGCAGTAGCACCCAAAAGTGTTGGGGATATCCCATCTATCAGACAAAATCCAAAAAGCAGATAAGAAACCAGTCAGCAGTTGTGGAAAATTCATTAAGGGTACAGAGTTGAGTGATTAAACCAACAATGTCTCAACTCTTACTGCTTTTCACTGTCTGCAGCCAGCTGTGGGAAGGTAGTTACCCTTAAAAAGATACAATAAAGTTAAAAGTAGAAATAAGATAAAATTAAGCCACCCAAAAAATATATATTTGTACTAAACAATGCCTACCGTCCTCAACCCTTAAAAGTTCTAAAAAATCCTTAAAGTAGAATAAATACCACCCTAATAATTCTACTACAGAAAAAGAGGAAAATAAACAACTCACCATTACTGTGAAAAATGGAGAATGGATCATGATAAGAAAACTAGACAGATGAAACAGAAGATGATGGCAAGTTTGCATAGTAGTCATCTACTTGAGGACATAAAAACAATCAAACCTTACCCATGGAGACCAAATGCCAGAAGAGAGACAGGGTAAAGGTGTAGTCATAGGATTGTTTATTATTGAAAAGTGTAAAGCCAACAAAAAATGCCACCACTGTTATGATTACCAGGAATATGGAAATCCATATAAGCAGAAGGAGCCCACAAAATGATTTCTGAGACTTGGAGGAGTCCCCACAGATACATGTCTAGCAAAAGTGGGGGAAGAGTGACATCTGGAGTCATGCAGGATCAAGTGAGTCACCACAAATATGAGGTAAAAAGATGACAGTATATTTCTGGAGATACCTGCACTCACAGGCTGGAAACCACTGAAGTGGACATCTATGGGCACATCTGAGAGGAACATGGAACTCAAGAGAGAGAAAGAGTTCCCAAACAAAAGATTCATGCAGAAAATTAGGGAGAAATGAAAGCCTCAGCATCAAAAGTTCCATGCCACAAACACAAAAAAAAAGGTAGACTGAACCTTTCCAACATACAAAGTGAGAGAGCCCAAGTGAAAAAAATAAAGGGGGGTGTTCAGATTGAAATGAAGACCTGAACCAGCCACCCCAAATGAGATGATTCCCAAAGGAGAAGTCAAAACAAAGAAAGCAGGAAGTGGAAAGAGCAAGTATAGAATTCAAACATCCATAGCGTTGTGGAACAACAGATCTCAATAATGTAACCCAAGAAACAATCCACTGGATTCAATGAAAAAAGATAGAGTTGTAGTCAACTTGAAGAGAAGGATTGAAAACCAACTGTTTAACTATTGTAGACAAACCAAAAGGTAAGCAGACAAATCAGGACATGGAGATAAAGAGAAAATATCTAAGATCTAAGTGAGAGTATACACCAGAGAGTAAGAAAACTGCCTCTAAGAAACCAAAGTTAAGTCCAGTGGGACAGATCATTATATGGCTGACAACCTCCCATCTTAGTGGGAATGATAAAAAGAACCCCAGAATTGGGTTAAGGAATTGTCCCATGCCATTTGAAAAAGGTGAAACAGAAAGTAGAAGTATAGGGAGAACTCCTGAGAAAGCACCTGAGGAACTCAATAGGTTGTAGCAAATGAAGTCCACCAGTGGAGAAACTGGAAGAGTAGAGCTTCCATTGGACCAGAACTGAGGGGTGGCTTCAGAAACAAACTGCCTCCAAAAACCATGATGACCTGTAAACAAAGAGGGTAGATCATGGATAGTAACAACATGACAAAGAACAGAATATGGGGTCACTCCATGAGGTCATATACAATGATAAACCAAGTGGAACTCCCCTGGCTCCAATGACAAGAAACAAAAGAGGGCATAGATGACTACTAAGGAGATACATCAGCTTCTTAGACCAATGTATAAGAAATATCACCAAAAACACATCACAAAGAAAATGTACAAGACAGGGGTCCTGGATAGAAGAATGAGGAAGGTGAAAGTCAGAATGTAAGGCAACCTTAAAAAGTACACCAATGAAACAAAGAAACCAAAGTAAGTGGGACACAATAGAAGAGAGCTGAGGGCAAGATGGGAAAAGGTATGTGCAAATTGCCCCAGTAAAGCTGATGTGTTTGTGATGGAAAGCCTCTAAATAAATATGAAGCATGGTAACAATCAAAGAAGTCAAGTAAGAGATGAAGACAAGTAAATGTAGATAAAGAAAAAATGAAAAAGAAATCCTTAAACTGAAAGAAATGATTTAAATGAATGAGGCTAGTGCAATAAGGGAACCCGAGATTCAGCAAATAATTATTAGAGAAAGAGGAAACAAGACACATACATATGGAATGCAAGCAATGAAGGACGAAAGATGGACTACCTGATCCACATCAAGAGATGGGAACAAGAATTACAAGCAAGCATGAGATAACAGTGGTGAAACAATCACAAGATGGAGAGGCTCAGGTGAAGTAACAGAAGCAGTAGATCAAGAATCTGGGATCCTAGATCAGAATGATACCAATCATGTTGTGCACAGTGGTGATAATATCATTGAACATCAGTGTTCCTAGTCACCATGACTCCTGTTAAGGAGGGTTAACCCTCTCACTAATGACTCGGTAGATTACAATAAACCTCATGACTCCAAAGTGGCCATCAGAGTTTCCACACTATAACTTTTAATGTGTTTTCTGTATCTTCAAGCTTTTAGTATACATTATAAGTCTTTCATAGGCAAAAAGCCAAAATCATTAATTAAGTATTTTCACTAAAAATTTGTCAGTGAATATATGGTTTGTCCACAATGGTTCAACAGTTGGTTTTCAATCCTTCCCTTCAAGTTGAGTGTTCTGAGTGCAAAGTGATTTTCAATCTAAGATTAAAAATACTTAAGCTGAAAATTATCAAATTTCATTTGCATAATCTCCTAAACTCCCTAAATAAATATCAAGAGTTTTTTCCCTAAAACTTTTATATTTTATCTGTTATTTTCTCAACCCTAATTCTATATGCATTCAGTCAGTTTGACCGACCTCACAAACACCGTAAACAATGTGAAATAAAATGAATAGTACTGTTCTATCCCTTTTAGTATTAACCACAAAATTGCAAAGAATTTCTACTTCTAACCTTTTCACATCTATTTCCCATGTTTAATTTACTGTTAGCAGCTGAAGAAGAAACCTGCTGAACATAAAGAATGGATCACCACTCCTGCCATTAGACTGCTTATGTGACACTGTAATATGACACCATCGAGATTAAAATGAGGATGTGCAGTGCAATAAGTAAATGTTTCCCACTGAGTTTATTATAATCCTGGCTCTGAGAACATAGTGGGAGAGGTACAGTGGTTGCAATGAGAATTGTCTAAGATTGAAAAAATGTTTGTGATGTGGCTCCCTACAAAGTCTCAGCCAATAAATGAAATTAGTAGGTATTTGGATACTAGTTATCCTCCCGGGATGGTCAGAATTTAGCATAATCGTATGCACAATGTTTAGAAGGGGGATTCTAATTTGAGATCAAAATCCAACACATATTGTGTGAAGCACAATCAGTATACAAAACATGCTATTGCTACAAGGGTCTGGGAGCATGCCACCCAGAAAATTAGTAAAAAATGGGTGCTAAAAGATTAAATCTGTAAACAATTGAATAACTGTTCACATAAAATCCATAAACATCCAATGAAAAGTCAACAAATCACCATTCTGTTATAACACTACATAGGGAGATGGATTTAAATTAGGATAAATATGTATGTTTTATTATAATAAAGTACTGTACTATCTACATGCAGAGTAGTTATTAATGGTTAAATTATATTACTAATTTAAACAACTCTGTAAAGCAATAATATATAAGCTATCTCAATCATTGGCTATCGTATATGTACATGTATGCACAACTGAAATAACATGTTAGTATGCTCCATTCTTCTGGGATGCTTTTCCATAAATAACTTACATACAGTTTCAATGTTGATAGCAGTGCCACTATGATTGTGTATTAAAGCTAGAGCACTCAGTCTTCCTTCAGTTTATGTATACCTCAAGAATTTATTCAACCAGTAGAGAGCAGATGCCAAACATTCACAAGAACATGAACTTATTGGCAGTGTGGTAAAGAGTTTCAGTGACAGAAATATATTTGGTACAATGAAACACACTTTTAAGCAGTCATCCAGTATCTGGGGCCTGACCTGGAGAGGTATATAAAGCCATTTTGTCTTCAATCGATGAAGTTCATCAAAAATATCAGGATTTGGCAAATCTTCCCTGTAAAAATTTATAGCCTGAA